CAATCTAAAATGATCCTCACTTAGTTTTAATCGATGGGATGATTTGGGGGCACGGAGTTATGTTTAGTTTGACTCGTATTTGTATCGGACAGGTATGGAGGTGTAAGCTTAGAACAAAATTGATATATAACGTACTACACGGGCGAGTCGGCCACGTTGCCAAGACCCCACCAAAACCACGACTATACACGACTGTACAGCACCGTTAAGAACAGTAATTAATATTCGTAGTAGACTAAATTATTCAGAAACTTCTACTACATCTTGCTTGCATGTGCGCGAGTTGTGTCCTGCCTCGCCGCAGCGTCTACAGCGTCTTTGCGACGGTTCGCCTACTTTAACGCTTAACCTCTTCTTTGCCTTCTCCCTATTGCTGCGCGCCTTGAACTCCTTTAGAGTTGTTAAGCGCACTCCCTTAGCGACTTTAAGAGTGCCTTCCTTCTTTATTCGCTTTCTCTTATGCGACTTACGTCGCGTAGCGGCCTTATTAGCCGCTCGAAGCTTAGCGATCTCCTTCTACGTGTGATGGGCTGGAGACCAGTTGGTGAATCCTCGATGATATCTCGGTCACGTGCGCGAGGCGCACTGTCCACAGAATCCGGGTGCCCCCTGAGCACCCGGATTCTGTGCAAGCGAGCCTGGCCGAAGGTTATCCCGAGCCGCCGCCCCCTGAACGACCTTCAGAACCCTAGCTACCTGTAGTTCTTCTCTATCGAATACAACTCTAGTATACCTGTGCGATAGCTCCCTGAGCGTAGCCCCTTACAGCAGCTATCGTAAGATGTGATTTAACAAATATTATAGTAGAAAGTAGGCAGTATTCAATAAGCGAAAATTGGGTTCAAAGTCTAATCGAGGTACTAGAGAATTTCTTGAAGGCATGTGTTATTATTTGTCAGCATCTACGCCTACCTAGGGTAGTGCGTTTCATCACTGATTATGTAACATGAGGACATATATTCGCTCACTTCGATAGACTCATCAATCAACCAACTACTTCCTTAATCTCCTTCTCATATGTTGACAGTTATGAGCCCGGAAGCCCTTTTTACGCTAAGTTGAGTTCACCTATACATACCTGGGAGATATTTGATAGCTACAATGGATACAGAAGGAGACCTTTTGATCACGAAGGCCACAGTCATCCTCGAGAGACCAGGCGACTGGCAGAGGTGGCTATTTTTGAGGAAGGATAGTGCTGAGAGGAACGACCTCTGGCAGTACGTAGATCCTTCGCTCAAGGCAGAGCAAGTGAAAAGGATAGAGCAGGAGAAACCTCAAGAGAAGGAAGTTGAGGAGTTCTATACAGGAGCCCCTCGAGCAGAGGACCAGGAGACTACAATCCTTGATCTCTCTGAGAAGGACGTCTCACGCTATGAGCTCTGGCTCAAAGTCTATATTAGAAGAGAGGCTCAGTGGAGCAAGAAAGAGAAGGCGCTGAGGGAATTCAATCACGAGATCTCTCGTACAATTGCTTCTCGGCATATCCACCTTATCTCAGACTGCTCAACGCCGTACGATCGTTTAAGAGCTCTTAAGAAGCACCTCTGTCCCAGCACCTCAGAGCGGAACTATCAGCTAAGAGCCCATTATCAGGGGCTGCTTACTGTGCCAAAGAGGAGCAACCTGGATAGCTGGTTTGAGGACTGGCTGGATACAACCCGGCTGATGAAGGAGGCAGCTCTACCTGAGATTGCAGGGAGCAGAGCTCAGGAAGACTTTATCCGAGCTATCAGAGGCCTTGATGAGAGCTGGGCTACTCACCAGCTGACAGAGCTCATACGAAAGGATCAAGATGAAACAGAGTTCACAGGGATATCAGACCTAGTAGCTGAGTATCGGTCCTACTATCGGCGCATTCGGCCTATAGCCTCAAGCCTTGGCAGCTTTGCTACTCTCGGCGTCGCAGAACAGTCTCAGCGCAAGCATCAGAGCAAGAGTGCTCAAGGACTAGCTCAAACACAAGGCTCATCAGAACAGGGCAAGCAAGTTCCAATCTGCGTATGTGGAGAACAACAAAAGTTTCAAGACTGCCCGTATATCAATCCCGCCCGCAGGGATCCTAGCTGGCAGCCTAATCAGCAGATTGTTAAGAAATTTGAAGATCTAAGAGCTGAGCAATCGTCAAAGGCCTCAATACTGCGGCGAGTTGAGGAGAAGCTGAGAAAAGGACGCTCACAGTCCACTAGCCAGAGATCGGGAGGTCTACACGATGATGGAGCGCCTCAGTCGCAGAACAGCTCAGCCTCATATGCAGTACTGCAGACTGCAATCACTTCAATACCCAAGGATCATCCGCCTCTCATCAATCGATGGATACTTGATCCAGGTTCGAACGCTCATGTAGCAAACTCTCGATCGTTCGGATGGAGAACGACAGCTCAGGCTCAACAAGGAGAGTGTGTGTATGCAGGAGGACAGCTGCTGCAGATTGAAGAGTGGGGTGAGGTAGAGCTCCAGGTGGACACGCCATCAGGAAGACAGCCGTTCAAGCTCACCTACGTCGCCTACATTCCAGGTTTCTTCACAAATGTCGTTGGCCTGTCACGCTGCAGGAGCCTCAACATACACTTCAACTCTGGAAAGAATTGTCTCTACCAGCGTGTTCCCTCTAATCCTGTGTGCTACCTTGAGTATAAGGACGGTCACTGGTTGATCGATGTGGATGAGAAGGCACGTCCACCTCCTAGAGCTCTGCAGGCAGCAGCAGTGTCAGGATATCGATCCAAACCTTCGCATACGGAGAGAAAGCCTCTGGAATTGAGCAGCGAGCGTGCTCATAGGCTCCTCGGCCATGCGAGCTATGAGGCAATCTCTCATCTCTCTCACAGTGTTGAGGGGGTGAGAATAGCTCAAGAAGATCAGCAGTCAACGTCGTGGAAGGATTGTGATGTTTGCATCAAGGCAAAGCTTCACAAGCTCATTAGCAGGCGTGTGCCTCAGGATATAGCTATGCGGCCGTTCTATCGCATTGGGATGGACCTGATCCAGCTCCAAGAGCGAGGAGAGCAGTGCTACAACAGAGATCAGTGGCTGCTTCATGCAGTAGATCAGAGCACAAAATGGCATGAAGGCACCTGCCTCACAGATAAATCAGGACCTACGCTCAAGCAAGCAGTCCAGCGTCTGCTCTCTAAGATTCAACGACAGTTCAAACAGGTCGTGGTAGCGATCAAGCTCGACAGCGAGCGAGGATACTCAGTCCTGTACGAGCTACTTAGGGACCTCGGGATTGCTATTGAACCTCGAGCTCCGTATACTGAGGAGCAGAATGGAATGACAGAGCGAGCAGGAGCAACAATCATTGCACGAGCGCGAGCAATCAGACTTGAAGCAAGCTTGCCAAAGGAGCTATCAAACGAGTGTGTGATGACAGCGATATACTTGCTGAACAGGACTCCTGTCAAGGCTCTCACATGGGGGACTCCCTTTGAGGCAGTACATGGAGTGAAGCCATCTCTAGCTCATCTTAATGAGATAGGAGCCAGAGCGTATACACTCAACCACGCGCTCAAGCAAGGAGATAAACTCGAATCAAGAGCTCTTATAGGACAGCTCGTTGGCTACGACTCAACCAATATCTACAGGATCTGGATACCTACACTCAGCAGGGTGATTAGGACGAGAGACGTCGTGTTCATGCCTCTAGAGCAAGTAGGGAAGAACGACTATCCCAAGGAGAGAACGCTCAGGCAGCTTGTCGCTGTACTAGATATCGAGGACCCACCTACCGCAGACGAGGAGATTGATCAAGCTCTCCATCTATCGACTCGGTTGACGCAGGAGATCCAGGAGTCCGAGGAAGCTGAGACTCAATCATCTAATGAGCTCCAGCATCAGGAGCAAAGACACAGAGCCTTTGACAAAGGATACCAAAGCTTACCAAGCCCTGAGGAAACTCCAGAACTAGAGGTTCTTGAATCAGAGGAGGTACAAACTGAGAGTCCTATGCCTCGAGGCTGGCAGACAGTAACTCAGGATGAGGAAGCACCTGATCGTGTGAACAATAACGCTCCTAGAAGGGAAGAGATCAGCGGTCAGCTTGATCGCGGAAATATCATCACAGGGAGAAGAACTAGAGGAATGCCAGGAGCATATGTAACCTCGTTCATGAGCTTTATTGTAAACCAGCCAAAGCAGAGGTTGCACCGCGATCACTTGCCTCAGCCACCAAAGCACTGGAAGGACCTCCGGAAGCACCCATTCCATCAGGAGTTCGGCCAGGCGGCAGAACAGGAGCTTGATAGCTGCTTTATCAAAGGCTGCTTTGTTCTAACACCAGCAAGAGAGGAGGACGTGCAGGAGGAGATACTGCCTCTTATGTGGGTTTTCTCCTACAAGTTCGATGAGGACGGGTATCTCTGTAAGCACAAGGCTAGACTAGTAGTAAGAGGTGATCTACAGGACGATTGGGGTGATACATACGCGGCCACTTTGGCTGCTCGAGTATTCAGGTTCCTGATGGGAATCACTGCGGCCTTTGGCCTCAACGCCTACCAGTACGACGTACGGAACGCCTTTCTCAACGCGCCTCTTGATCGGAAGCTATATGCGCGTACACCTGAGGGCTTCACACAAGATCTCGGTAAGCTCCTTGAGCTCAAGCGAGCCCTCTATGGCCTCAAGGATGCTCCTCTCCTGTGGTACAACCATCTCAAGGAGACGCTCAAGAAACTTGGCCTCAAGCCTGTTGAGGGGGTGCAATGCCTCTTTACAAACGCTAGACTACTTGTGTTTTTCTACGTTGACGATATCGTCGTCCTTGTACACCCATCTTATCTCTCATACTACACTCAGTTTGAGCAGGAACTCAAGAAGGAGTATGAGATCAGATGTCTAGGAGAGCTGCGCTGGTTCCTTGGAATTCGTGTTTTAAGGGATAAGCCTAAGAAGAGAATCTATCTGATCCAGGATTCTTTTATTGACAAGGTCACCTCGAAATTCGAGATCAAGCCTAGTAATCGGGGGACAGGAGCTCCTCTGGCTGAGGACTATCTCGAGGCAAGCAACGAGCCTCAGAACGATCACCGAACAAGGATGTACCAGCAGCTCGTAGGCTCGCTTGCCTATATATCAACCTTCACTCGCCCTGATGTAGCACGCGCCCATTCAGTACTCGCGAGGCATCTCCAGAACCCTGGCCAGAAGCACATTGGCGCAGCGTATCAGGTATGGCGATACCTACTCAGGACGAAGTACCTTGCCATTAGTGCCTCAGGAGATAATCTACAGAACAGCTATTATCTCACCAAGCCTGAGGAGGCAGGAGATGAGCTGATATTTTATGGTGCATCAGATGCAGCGTTTGCCGACGACCCAGAGAGGAAAAGCTCTCAAGGCTATTTGTTCAGCCTGTACGGGCTACCAATCGATTGGAAGGCTACCGTACAGAGGTCGGTGACCAAGTCGACGACTGAGGCTGAGCTACTTGCCCTCTCACTAGCAGGCAGCGAGCTAATCTGGTGGAAAAGACTGTTCAAGCAAGTCAACTTTGAGCTTGGTATTCGACCTACTCTCTTCTGCGATAACCAGCAAACAGTTAGGATCATCAACAAGGCAGAAAACCGGCTTAATACAAAGATGAGGCACGTAGATACTCATCAGATGTGGCTGCGTCAGGAGGCAGAGGCAGGTCATCTTCAAGTAAACTGGATGGCTACGAATCAGATGCCAGCTGATGGCCTTACTAAGTTACTCAGTAGCCAGAAGCACTCTACTTTTGTAGAGCAGCTAGGCCTTATTAATATCAGCGAGCTACTTCAAGGACGCTCAGGGGGTGAAGAGAACTCTCACTCTCTGTATCAGCATCAGCTATAGTCCAGCTTTGTTTGATTCACTGCAGCTAAGGGGGTGTGTCAGCATCTACGCCTACCTAGGGTAGTGCGTTTTATCACTGATTATGTAACATGAGGACATATATTCGCTCACTTCGATAGACTCATCAATCAACCAACTACTTCCTCAATCTCCTTCTCATATGTTGACATTATAGTATAGTGTTAGTGCAGGAGGAAATAGGCCGCCTTCAAGACGCTGTTAACACGCTTACAAAGCGCAAGACTTGCAAAAGGCGGTACGTACGCGCAGAGGAGACTCTAACAATTAGTAAGGTATCTAACTTAATTACTAAAGAGGAGGGTAGTAGGCGTAAGGTGAGCGACAAGCCTGCGAAGAGGGTGCGCGCAGAGAGGCGCTGCAGTCGTTGCAGCCAGATTAGACACAACTCCCGCACCTGTAAGGCAGAAATTAGGGACGTAGATAGCAGTAACGCTTTAGAGTAATATTGCACTATTATGTATAGTATAGTAATTTGTTGTAGTGTTGCGCTGTGTCGCGGCGCGCGCGCTATAGTAGAGAGGGTGCGCCGTTCGCTTAGGTGCGCCGCTTGCTTGTGAACTACGTTATAGTAACATCTCTATTAAATAAATGTACAAGTAACAAAGACCTAGATACTTACGGCCGTTAGGACGTACTAGTCCTTTCTCTAGTACTATTCTTACCCCGTCTATATCTCGCCCTATAGTTATTATGGTGTTAAGATCTTAGAGTTTACGCAGGCGAGTGCACATAATTACCTTAGCAAACAGAGTAATCACGTTAAGGTCGTTACTATAGGCTTTACAGACTAGATACATAGCTTCCGCATAAGCATAGTTAAACTACAACAGGTCCTCTAGGATTATGTTAACGCTTCGCGGAAACCAGGCGTTTAGTGCTGTAACTAGTGCCTTCTTTACAGGCAGGGCGTCTACACTAACTTCTTCAGCTAGCATTAAAACGCTTAGGACCTTAGCAATAGAGCTCTTACAATCGTCTTGTGTAAACATCGGCTACGATTTGTTGTAATTAGCGCCAATAGCGTAGGCAATCCCCTAGTAGGCTACTATGCATTTCGCATCGTACGCAGTTGCCCGCTTAAAGCAGTGCACAGCAGCTTTATAGTGAAACAAGTAACACTATATGTAAGGGGCTACGCTCAGGGAGCTATCGCACAGGTATACTGGAGTTGTATTCGATAGAGAAGAGAACTACAGGTAGCTAGGGTTCTGAAGGTCGTTTAGGGGGCGGCGGCTCGGGATAACTTTCGGCTAGGCTCGCTTGCACAGAATCCGGGTGCTCAGGGGGCACCCGGATTCTGTGGACAGTGCGCC